TTTCTTACTGGTGTTACACATGATGGCTTTCACTGAAGAGCCTTTCCCATTTCCTTCTTCATGTATAGGAACAGTGCACAGGACCCAACAAAGTCAGACAYGGTATTGATGAAAGATTAAATACCTTCTTAAAGTATGCATTTCTATATTGATCCAGGAACTGAATCAATCCAGACATAAAGCAGTAGCAGATCTCTTGAATRCTTATTGAGGTTTGTCTTTCTATGTGCATGAAGATGTGTATGTAGGTCAGGATGACCAGATGTAGGAGACGATGAATGGATATATTTCCCCAATTATAATCAGACTAGAATTCTTGAGCCAGACAGCAGRGTACTTTGAAAATATGAATGGATAAAATGTCATTCTTTACTTAAAAAAATAAACTAGGTTTAAAGAATGCATAATCRTGGCATTAGGGATTTAAACAAAATATTTTATGGTGACAATCTTCAGACAGCTTCCCTGGTTACCCTTCTCATTAGGACCCTTCCTGTCTTCTATGAGAGATCATCAACTCTGTATGTGTTCATAGATCCAAGGCTTACAAGCAATATGCAAAATAACTTCTTCATATTTGTTTTAAACAAGGTTGTCACTAATCTGGTCTAGTATACATTTCCCCAGATGGTTTAAYGATTATGAACATTTTAATTTTCAGTTTTAGAAGAAGGCAATGTAAATGCTAGGCTTCAAATTATATCTAATTATACTGACTCCTTGAAATTACTGTAAAAGGCAATGACATTTTTCTTTATCTTCTTGGATATAAAATGATGCTCTATTTGAAGTCTGTGTTCATGAAGGTTCACATTCAGAGCCAGTCTRAGTGTAAGAGAGGACCACAGGTTCAAAGGCAAAACAAGAATCTGATAAAATGCATGATTAAAGTTTTATAAGGGCAAGCTTAGATTTCTTTGGGGATTATAAATAGGCTTAAATTTTTAAAGTTATGAAAAATAAATTTGAATAACATTGATAGTGAAGTTTTTTTTTCCTCTTCATTGTGTACTTTCTAAAAAGGTAATAAATCCTATTTTCCAAATATATTCAGTTCAGTTACAGTGACCCTAACTTTACATCAGAAGAGTCAAAGACTATGTCACAGATTTTATTATATCGAAATTCATTTTTAAAGCCAGGGTAAAATAGTTACAACAGTACTCCAACCACCTCCTGAATTGAATCAAGCTTTCTAGAGTAGTTATAAATCATACAAGGTCTATGGGAGATGTTTGAAATTCATACATGCCCAGTTACCAAGATGATTCTTTAAAAACAAGCAAACAAAAAGGAAAACACTAAGGCCACCAAGATCCAAGATGTAAACATGGCTCTATCTAGTTTCTATTAAATTTGTAATACTTCTCATTTGCACATTCAACATGTAACATATCCAGATTTGAGGACAGAGAGTTTATTTAGAATAAAAATGAAAAATCTAAAGGTGACAAACCCAGCAGTCGTGGGAAGAGAGACTTGGCTCCATATTCTACATAGAGCCCACACAATAGTTACTGTTCTTCCTATGTAAGGAATTTCCTTCAAATCAATGAAATACAGATGAATATTTGAATAAGTGTGTAAATACTGACAGCAAATTCACAAAATGGAAATGCAAATTCCAATGAGATTAAAAAGGAAATTTTAATTTAGTAGATATCCAAATTATTATAAGGAGACTCCAGTTATAAAATTGTTAGGTAAGAAAATTTTTGTGGGACAAAGTATGCATTTTGTTGTTGTTGTTGTTGTTGTTGTTGTTTTGTTTGCAGCAGGGGCAGTACCAGGGATTGAACTCAAGGACACTCATTCACTGAGCCCTGAGACACACCCCCAGCCCTATTTTGTATTTTATTTAAAGAGAGGGTCTGACTGAGTTGCTTGGCACCCCTTTTGCTGAAACTGGTTTTGAACTTGTGATACTCCTGTCTCAGCCTCCAGAGCTGCTGTGATTATAGGTGTACAACACTGTGCCCAGCAGAGAAATGCACTCTTTTGATAAGAGGCACTGCYGTTGAAAGTATAAAGACTTTTCAGTTATTTTTCTTAGGATATAAGCAAATAAATAAGAAAGATATTAACAATAGTAAGATATTAAGACTATTACAGATATTAAGAATGATTGGGTTAGTGTTTTTATTTTTAGTGAAATTTAGAAACACAATAATGTCTGACAACTGAAAACTTGAAGAATATACAAATATATATATAAGCACACAGAGAAGAAGATACTATGATTTATCCTTAAGTAAATACACAGTTTTAATATGTACATCATCTACATAGAGAAAATGTGTGCTGTGTGAGAGTGAGTGAGTGTGTGTGTGTGTGTGTGTGTGTGTGTGTGTGTTTCTGAACAGTCCAGGACTATGGATTATGTGTAAGTTTTATCATCTTGATTTTTAAATATGATTTTTTATTTTAATTTTCATTCTTTACCTTTTAAAGTCATAAGCATGTTTTCTTCTCATACCTTCCTGTTATTTTTCTGATTATAAAAATGATGCACACCTTTGCAAAGTACAAGCTACAGTTAAAGAACAAGCAACATTTGATACCAAATTTACCTTTCCTTTGCCTTTTTGTCCATAGATGGTATGACAATTGTTTGAGCCTCATTTTCAAAGAATAGTTTTATTCCTTTCTTTCTTGTTTCTTCACTAAACTTTCTACTATCAAGGTTGTTACCATATGTTCTTATACTTAATGTGACTAACATAACCAATTATTAGCCAAACAGAAATTCAAGAATCATGTCTTGCATATCACAGAAACCTGGGACTTTGGACTCAGACTGCATAAATTTGAACCCTGAGTCTTCCCTTGAGACATTTATTCATCTTTCTGGGCAGAAATRCTCTTATTCATAAAGCAGGGTTGACATTGACACCTAATGTTGGGGTGAGGGTTAGTGACAGCTTCTTCCTCAATCTGACATTTCCTTCCATGCAGAGGAGGCTCCTTTATAAAACTCCTGCTTCCCCAATCCCTTCCCAATATTCAYCCTTTCCTAGAGTCAGGAAGGTTAGATTAGGATAAAAGGCACAAACAAACTATCAGATTGAAGTTTAAAGACATCCCTTTCACCTCCTGTTCTCTCTGTGGAACACATCTGACCAAARAAAATTACTGCACTCCCAGGCCACTGACCTCCAGGCAATGAACACCATGCTGTCAGGAGCCCTACCACCAGTGACCAGATGGACATGCTTCTCTTACATGGAGAGGAATCACAGGCTCAGTGGTAGAGATTTWAAAAAAAATAAAGGTGATATTTGAGTCCCTCTATGTCATAATCTTTTTGTTATTTCTCAATTGGTACAAAATTATTAAACAGAAGTATTGCTATTTAATGGGTTCCAATTTCACAACCCCCATAGGCTACTGTGAAGAGCACGTCTTACAATGTTTATACTAAATAATTGCCATTTCTTGTATATATGGTGTGTGTGTTTATACAGAACATACATAAAAACACATGTATATGTATGTACTGGTTTGTATATGTATGTGCTTGTAMTTATTTAGAGATAATTTACATAGTTCATAAAGTAAAAAGTATGCCAATATGTGTGCACATACATGTGTACATACATGTAGGTCTTTGCTGATTTAGTTTATCATCAAAATTCAGCATTGTTAAATGTACAGCTGGAGTACCAATGAAGCCTTGCATTGTGCATTAATTTGACACAAAATTTGACCTTCTGTATTTGCAAGTAAAAATTTGATTATGTCAATATAAATTCTCTTATTCTGTAACCACACTTGCATTATGATCAGTAATACACATTAGAAGATCACTTCTAAGATAACTGTTTAGTGTTAGTATACTTTGACATTAAAAATATGAAAGTCTTGAATTTTCTTTGTTTCACCAAGCTACAAAATATGATTAAATGAAATTGTTGCCATTTTAAAGACAGCTTATATTTTAGTTAAAATAATGTTACCTCTAAATCCAAAGAACTAAAGTCTTTTGCAAATTCTTATTTAATACTTCTGGCTTGATGAAAGAAAGAGCAACTCCATTGCCTAATGCGTTATATGCATTATTATCCAGGGCACAGTTGAAAGTGTTTTATGAATTAACGTTAAAACCAAAACAGATGAAGGATAGCATATTAATATTATGATACGGGTAAGCATATATAATCAGTTTATGATACCTTTTCATTTCTACTGAAGCCTATGACTTGTCCTGAATTCTTTAAAAGGAAAAATATTGATCCCCAAGGGGGAAAAACAGAGTAAACAATTTTTAGTGTTGTTATAGGAAAAAAAAAAGAAAGCAAAATAAAAATGCTGAGGCTCTTTCTTCAAACAATTGAATTCAAATGAAACTGGGTAAAAGAAATCTGACGTACAGGATAAAATTTGGATTTGCTTGAGTACCTACTATATGTAAGAATTATTAATTTACAAAGAGACACAGGTGACCCCACCTTTCTGAATAAAATGAACCTATCAATGTATCTTTAATTTCCTTAAATTATATTCTTATTGTGCAAGTTTTCCTTACTTCTATTAGATTTTAGGGTCCATTTTAAGTATTTCCATGTAACTAAATAATCTTACCAAAACACTGAATTTAATGACAGAGGTCCTGTCCTCTTGAATGATATCTGCTTTTTCCACTGAGGCCCATTTTTGCTCAATTTTCCCCATATTCTTCTTCACATATTTCCCCCCAGATATGATATTTTTGAATCTTATACTTGTTGTTCAACACCCCTGTCAAATAGTAATTTGGGGAACTTCTCAGCTTATCACTAGAATAATTAGCCTAAAGAGTAATATATTTGCTTTTAATCAATGAACAAGTGTTCCACACTGTATTCAACCCTTGTGCAATTAATCAAAGCACAGCAAGGACACATGTGGTGTGCTGGGACTTCAYGATTTCACACTAATCAACATAGGAAGCAATCAGTGGCAAGCATTTAAAGTGTATTTTGAAGAGGACAACGTAAAGTCATCTGCAGTCATTGACTTACCCAAGACTGTGAGCTCTGCAGAGGCACTAATGTTCTCATTTTTATATGTGACAACACAGGTGTACGTTCCACTGTCGTCATCTGTCACATTGGAGATAAGCAAGTTGCTTCCACCCAATAAAGAATACTTTTTAGACCTGTAAGACACCAGGCATATATACAGTAAATTAACACACGTTTGCAGGCGAGGTACTCAAGGTTTAAATGAATTTTGCAAACCTCAAACATAAAATTGGAAACAAACCCTGTATGAGAGGGGCTTGATAATGTCTCACTTATTGACCTAAAATGAATTCAAAGGAAACTACTCGCACTGGAAGGCAGCATGTATTAATCAGACAGATAAAATAGGGATAACTGCAGTGCTAAAAAAGAAACTTACAGATAATCTAGTCCATTTACCCCCTTTTAAATTTGAGAGCCTCAGGGTCCAAAGAAGTGGTTCTTTCAGAGTGGAGGGCAATGTTCTGTGCCCTGACATCCAATTCAGTGATCTTGTATGAAGCCATAACTTATACTGAACCCAAACTGCCTAAACATATGCAAAGAGCATGTGTCTGCCGAGGCCGTAACATTTCTTGCAAGCTTTAATGATCCCAGAAAAGTTGTGATGTCATACATTTGTTGTCTAAGAACATATTTAAGGTGGATGAATTTAAAGATTAATATATGATCTATGGACCTATCTCATCATAGAAAATAAATGTGTTAAAAAGGAGTACACCAGTCCTCCCAATCAATGAAATTAATTTCTTAAGTGAGATCCATTTAATCAAAATGTTTTAGAATAAGTATTCCATCATAGGAAGGGCTCACTTTCTAACTCTATCTTATTATTAATGCTCCAGTAATTCAAGACCAGGCACATTCTCCTGTCTTACCTTAAATATTTGTTACAGCTGGGATAGTCATGGGCAAAACTGGAGCTAAAAGGAATTGCTCAGACATTACGATGATATKCCACATATTGAAATCCAGAATTTTCGGTTTCTTTATTCCCTTTCTATTGAGATATAGTTGAAAAAAAAGTGTATGTATTTATACAATGCGATGTGATGTTTTATGTTTATGTATAAAGGATGAAATATGTGTTTATACATATATAGACAAATGTCTACACACACACACAGAGAGAGAGAGAGAGAGAGAGAGAGAGAGAGAGAGAATGAACATCCAGCTAATTAACCTAAACATCACCTCACATAGTAATCTTCTGTGTGTGTGTGCTCAGAATGTTTAAGATCTACCTCTCCATTCCACTACCTTAGGATGAGATCAACCAGATGCCTCGTCTTAAGACTTTGGATGGGACCACCTCAATAACTATCCTGGCTTTCTCAATTTCCTCTCAGAATTGATCTTATGCATTTTGACTCTTTTCCCCATGGGCTCAAGCCAGTGGTTAGATGCCATTTATACACTGTATCATGTGGAGGAATAAGGGGAAAAATCCAATGATCATGAGAAACCTAGCATTTCTAGGCATTTGTGTCAAATTAGAGAAAAGTAAACAACAATGCATATTTCACAGAAATCCTAAATGAGTGTACCTGAGTTGGATGACTTCCTGGCCCCGTAACCAGGTGAAACTGGGCGGAGGGTAGCCAGAAACACAGCACTCCAGGACAGCATCCCTTCCTTCAATGGCCACCACGTTGGATGGTCTTTGCAGAAAATACAGCTGCCTATGCAGTCCTGGATCTATGAGGAAAAAATACAGGATGAAATACTTTATGAACAACATTTCCAAGATAAATGACATAACTGAAATCATTTTTCCCCTTAGAAGACACAATGATGGAGAGGAAAGAAAGAAAAATGGAAAGATGCCGCCAGTGACACTTATGAATAAACTCCTAAAAGAGTTTCCCCAGTCCCCAGATTCTAGGATTATATTGGGATATCTTTGGCCATTGAGATGTCATGGCATAAGGCAAAGGACATAGCTGGAGGATACAGGTGACTCATTTGGGCTATGGACCTTGTTAATTTGTCACTATTAGAGAAACAGACAACATTATTAGTAATTTTCTAAGAGTTCTCATCTGAAAATKTTATATGTTCAGTCTGTGTGCCAATAACATCTATTCCACTTTCTTCTGCCTAGTTCATTGCTTTGGTGACTTGATACATATGATAAACATAGATAATAAAAATTGTGCTCCATAGCACACAGGCTCTAAGGATTAGGATATAAAGATTTTGCAAAAAATATCAGCTTTCTTCAAAAAGGAAGTTATATTTGTATAACTAAAGTTTGTTTGCTTGTTTTTTTAACAATGTCTGGTTGTATCTTAACCTTTTATTTATATTTAATTTTTAAATATTTCAAACAGTGAGATTGTCCCTAGATCTGTGCCCCTGGGTGAAGCAGTGCTTGTACCCTTATATTCACCTCACATATTTACTTGTTCTATGAATGCAGCATTACTAGTGTTGTCTGACAGGTAATTGAAACAGTGTCTGTACAACCTAAGAACTCATGTTATTCAACCTGAGAACTCAAGTGATACAAAGCCATTAAGATATCAACAGATGGAATATGCAAAAAAAAAAAAATACAGTTTTAAGCACAGGGCTCAGCTCCATAAGAGTGAAGAGCTTCTCTTCCCTCCATTATAGAAGACCAGTCCTCCTGCCTAGTCTTCAAGGTTAGGTGGACTTGGAGGAGACTGTTCCACCCAAGCCAAACTTTCTGACATGACCTGCTGACCAAATTTCAATCCCTCTGAATTGAAGTATTTAAGATAAGATGCTGAGTTTCCACGTTTCCATTAAAATCCACATCTCTCTAGGAGATTTAATTAAGACAATTTTCAATTTAATGCATTTAGTGGAATTAGCCTTTCATTTGTCATGATGCAAAATCAAAGGAAAATCCCGATGCAAAGAAAATGAGGCAATGGAGTCTTCAAAACTAAGATTGTACTGAATGAAGAATGGCTGAGGGAGATTAGATCCAACTGTATCACAGCATAGGGTACTGAAGATGAGGGAGGAACTGAGGTGGGAAGGAAGCTGGGACATATTTTAACGTTGTTATTAATTTCCATTTGTCAGATCCAACTCCACAGGGTAATATAAGAATTGCAATTCTCAAATTAATAATTGGGATTATACTTGTCATCTATTTTGTTTGCAGAGAAAAAAAGTAAATTCACACTTTCTCAGTCTTGCCACATCTGTTTCTAGTTGTTCCAGCAACAAAAATAATCTTCACAATGAAAATATTGAAGGCATTTTCCAAATGTGTTTATCATCATTAAACCAATATTGTAGAAAAATGCCTCAAAACCTTTGCTAGTTGCTACTGGCATGTTTTACTTCCTTTCTCCAAAATGACTTTTCAAATTAAACAAATATGCTTCAAAAGATAATAATGCTTACAAAAAAAATTTCTGAAATGGACAAGTTCCTAAAATGTGCATATACAACTCAGTATCTTTGTTACAGAGGACCATTTATTCAAATTCTTTACTTTCACCACCTGCTCCTCAGCAGACATGTGTCCTCCACATACATCACAAATGCTGCTCTACAATACCTTGAAAAACATCAAGTAAGGTCTACTAAGTGTAATATTTTAGCTAAAAGAAAATTTACCAGCGACAGGTAAAGTGACAGGTAATTTATTTACCTACGGAAGAGCCAATATTTCAACTCAAATGACTATACTTCATCAGAAAACAAAATCATGTAACATAAAATGATTCAATTTTAGAATATCTTTAAAAAAATTTTTCATTTGAAAAAAAATTGAACAGATAGTGAACAGAGTTTCTATATACCGGATCACATCCCCTGTCACTCAGTTTCCCGTATTATAAACATCTTACATTGTTGTTACAATTGTTACAATTAATGAACCAATATTTACATACTATTATTAACTAATGCCCGCATTTTACATTAAGACTATCTGTATTTTGTATAGATTTTGACAAATGCATATTAAGTATCCAATATTACAGTATTATGTAGAGTAGTTTGAATACCCTAAAAATATTAAGTTTAATTATTCATCACTCTGCCACAACCCCTTCTTCCATTTATGTGCCTTTTCCACAATATCCTATCATTGAAATCACACAGTATGCTACTTTTCAGATGGAATTTTATTATACTTAGCTATATGCATTTAATATTTTTGTGACTTGACAGCTCATTAATTTGTATTGTTGGGTAATACTCTATTGCATATATGTATCATAATTTGTTTATGTATTTATTCACCTATTGAAGGACACTGGCTGTTTTCAGTTTTTTAACAAACTGACATAAATATTCACATATAGAAAATTTTCAACTCCATTGCATCAATATATACCTTGGAGTAGAATTACTAAATTGTATTGTAAAGTATAATAAATCTATGTTTAGCTTTGTAAGAAATTGGCAAGATGTCTTCCAAAGTAGTTGTGTAATAAATATATCACTCCCAGCATCAAGGAATGAGAGTACCTGGCACCCATATCCTGAGCAACATTTGGTATGGTCATATTTTTAATATGTTGTGCATTTTATTGGGTGTGCAATAATACCTCATATGCTGTTGGTCCCATTTAATATGCTATTCTTTGCATTTGTAAGCCTTTGTTGAAGTGTCCAAATATCTTTCCTATTTTTGTAATTGGTTGGTTTGCTTTCAAACCATTGAGTTTCCAGAGTTCTGTATGCATTTTGTATATAAGTCCTTTATCATATTATACAATATTTTCTCTGTCTGTGGGTGGCTGTTTTTCATTCTCTTAGTACTAYTTTTTAAACAGTAGAAAATCTTAATTTTAAGAAAATCTAACTTGTTTTTTACTTCCATGCATTTTTTTTTAGTTATTCTACCTGAAAGTTCATGACCATAACTGAGATCACCTCAATTTCCTATGTTATCTTCTAGAAATATTAATCTTGTGGTTTACATTTAGATATCATCAGATCCATCTGAGATAATCTTTATGAAAGATGGAAGATATATGTCTAGACGTTTTTGATAGTTATGTCCAATTGTCCTTCTCCATGTACTTGATTTTGCACCTTGGTCAAAGAACTTTTGATGGGGCCTGTGTAGGTATATTTCTGAGATCTCCATTCTGTTCTATTGACACCTCTGTCCATTATTTTGCAAATTCTATACTGACTTGTCTATTSTAAGTCCTGAAGTCAGGTCCTACCCATCCCGTGACTCTAGTCTTCTTCCTCACTTTTGTGTTCACTATTCTGGGTRTCTCCACATAAATTCAGAATGAGTTTGTTGAAATCTACAAAACAAATTGCTGGAATTGTTGTCTTTATGTTAAAATATCCTGACATCACAGGGCTCCTATTGTCTCAAAGCATCTTTCTGCTATTACATTTAAAATAAAATAATATATTCCACAGTAAGCCAATACCCACCTGGCYCATTTCAGTTGCTTGTTATCTATGTCTTCATATGCACTGGAGTTTGTGAGCCTGATCATATATATGCAAATTTCACTGTTTGGTAGGGGATTTTAGTTTCATATCCCCAAATATATTTCTCTATCTAATAAATTCTAGTATTAAGAAAGTTCCCAAAAGAGCTCAAAGAAAATAGTTCATATGAAAATAGTACACAACACAGATTAGCATGACCWCAGAATGTCTGAAGTTCCTCCAGGACAGAAGTGAGTGTTCACTTCCCTGTGCTTCAAGTCTGGCCTGGTCCTATATCTTGCTTTGACAAACAGATTTTGSTGGGAATTATGCTATGTGAGTTGTGGAACCAAGGACTCAAGAGGTCTTTGYTTCTGTGATTGCTCTTTGAGACCAGCATGTTAGTGGAGCCAAATAAAGAGTGACAGATCACAAAGATGTTAACTGAGGCCACCAGCCAACAGCCATGTCCAACTGCCAGACTCATGAGAGAGGCAATCTTGCATCCTAGGTCTCAACCAAATACACATAAATGAGACCTAGCAAAACCAGAAATTGCTGAGGTAAACTGCAGAATTGTCAGAAATTGTTGCTAGGTTAAGATGCTAAATTCTGTAGGAGTTTGTTATTCAACAACAAATAACTGAAACATATACATAAAAAAATATATACACAAAAACAAAACAAACCCACCCCCCAAATTTAAAATGCCAAGTAACTATTTTTTGCATTGTTATTTTAGTTTKATTTCAGTTTAATTGCTAGGGTGATCTTGAGTATATGCAGAGACAATATTCAACTTGATATCTGCACATTTTTCTCCTTTAAGATATTTTAGAGGACCAATAAAAGTCAGACTTATATTTTAAAATTAAGACAATAAAATACAAAGTTAACTTTTCTGTGATATATTTGTGGGTGGTTTTTATTTTCATCCTGAATTTTTCTGTATTTTCTAAAGATTTTCAAAAGGACATATATTTTTAGGGTGAGAGTTATTTTCAACTCTAGTGGTACAAAGTGTATAGAAATTATACAAAGGGCCAAAAACATCATAAATGTTAATGACTAAAACTTCAAGCAAATACTTAAGATCCAATGAAAGCTYTGTCTCTAAGCTCCAAATAGTAGAGAGGAAAAAAGTCCTAGGAAGTGTGAACTTTAAATTCTAGCTTTATGACTCTTGTTGATTAAATTGATTTGAATGGAAYTAGAATGAAATTAGTAATTACTGATAAAAACAATTTGTTCTCTGGCTGTATAGTCACTAACTAATCCAGTCAAAGTGAAGAGAAATGGAAGAATTTCTC